GGATTGGTTTGGCACCTTCAGAAGGAAACATTCGTTTGTTTCATAGCATACTCTACTAAAAATTCACTTTTGTGGTAGAATCCGCCCCACATTGTTTTTGCACTTCGTGAACATTTTTTCTTTTCCTGAATGATCATACTAGGTTCTCCTAGTTTCTGTTGTTGATGTTTAAGCAAAGAATCCACACTCAAACCTTGCTCATATAGTTATTCCAGTCCACAACTGTTCCGTGACTGATTTCCACCTGCTTTTCACACCATTTAACTGAAGTTCTTTCTTCGTTCCTGCCATAAATAAACCTCATGCACTTCATGAAACTCAAACCATGTGCCTTTCCGTACACTTCTTTTACTACAAGTTGAAAGGTTGCAGAGCCATTGAATTTTGTCTCCGAAATACAATTTCATTTCATGATTATTAGCAATTTTAGGCAAAACACCTTTTGCTTGAACAAAATTTGACAGATTCTTCCTCCTTTCAGGGCAAATCTCAAATTTTTATTGGTTTTTCATCCATTTTTGAAGTATTAGGAAAAAGACAGTTTAAGAATTGACTATGCTTTCATAGGACAACATCCTGATTCGCTAGTTAATTTCACATGACCACGAGTAATCCCATCTCACATAAACTACATTACAAAAATCTAATTCTCTCAGTAATTATCTATATTAATTTCAAGTTAAATCTTAGTATCGAATACAAGTTTAAATGCAAAAATAATTTCAATTCGTGAAATTGCTTACTGAGAAATTATGTAAAACCACAGTGCGTTACTTGGCTAGTGCATTCTTATTAGATGTGAAGAATTTAACCCTTGACTTTGCCTTTTCTATTTATGCTTTAGGGTGAGCAGGGTGATTGCACTCTAATTGATTTGATTACCACAAATGGCCTTAGGGCATAAAATTGAACTATTTGGTAAAAATTCTATGTAATTGTATGCCAGTATTGAAAGAAACTATCAATGCTCAGTCTGATAAAAAATGGCTGTGACATGTATTGAAAATGGGACTGGCGGGGGGGGGGTATTCCGTTTGGCATCTGTTACACCATTGGCAACTTTATTGCCAGCGCTGGTGAAATGGAAAAGTACCATTAAATGTAATTTATAATTTGTAAAGAAACTATGAACATATATTATTTCAATAGTTTAAAAATTCTGTTTCATATATTCAAACTTTTTACATCACTCTCCCGGTATTTGAAAATTTTCTCAATTATGCTTTAGGACACTTAAAAAAAAAAAAAAAACTATTCTTAATGTACACTATATTATATTATGATATATGCTTATATACAGTACAAAGTCTTTAATCCAGACGTCCATAGTCCGGAATGTTCTATAATCTGGACCTCAAAGCTACAAACTTTTTGCGCATGCGCATATGCATTTACGCATGTGCATAATACTTTTACGCATGCACGTTTAATGTATAACGGATGGTATAAGCTAGGCTAAAATTATCTATTTCAGTTAATGTTGCAGATTGCGTTGTTCCTTAATCTTCTAATTGGATCTGGCGTATTATTTTTTGCAGACTGTTGGAGTAATTTTATAAAAAGTAAGCTTGAACTTTCGATTATGTCAAAACGAGTTTCCGATTCTGGAGCAGCCAAAGGATCTACAAAGCAAAAACATGTTTCGATGTCCATCAAACAAAAAGTGGAATTGCTGCAAAAAAGGGATAAAGGCATGAAGAAAGTGACAGAGAGGTTAGTGAAAACGAAAAAATTTTGATTGACAAGTTAGTTGGTGTTCTCGGCACAGCAGTTACAGGACTTGAACAGTGGAACTTTAGAACTGAACAAGAAATTATGTCTGTTTATAGAATTAAAGAGAAAGTATTAGCACATAAAATGAAGCAACTTAAACAATTTACATTGAAAGAAATGTTTAATAAAGTAAATAAATAAACATTAAACAAACTTTTTTTTTTTTTTTTGTAAATTTTGATGCCCTTTAGTTCATAATTGCTCTTTATTTCATAAATTATGGTTTCATATTTTTAATTTTATAATTTCTGCATGCCATCTTACCATATTTAAATTGATGATCTATAATCCGGAAAAACCCCTAATCCGGAATCGGCGAAGCCCCGACGAGTCCGGATGAAAAACTTTGTACTGTATTATATTTTACACTAGCGGTTTTTTTTTTAAAGGAAAATCTAAAAAAGAAGAAGAATGTTACTCTGCAGATTTCCTGAATTGTCTTAAGAATCTTTTCTTCATTCGCTGAAATAAATAAATAAATAAATAATAAAAAACCTTTTGTTTGGATTGATAATAATCATAATAATGAATCATATTAAAAAGTTTATTGCTTGCTTATTTATTAGCTTTTCTTGTCTTTGTAATTTTGTGAATCTGGTTTTACAATAATAATATTTAAATAATTTCACAGTTTCATTTTGCATAAAAACATATTTCTAAAACAAACTAGGTTGGCTTAACCACTATGAAATATGACCATGAGCTTAGGGCATCAGGAAAAGAGGCACAAAAAAATTTCCCATTGCCAGTTTTACTGTAGAACCTGTAGAATGCTTGTTGCAGCTAACCCAACCTAGAGAGAAAGACCGAATGAACGAAAAGAAAATGGTTATAAATGTATATGGGGGCAACAGAATCTTTTAAATGCTTAAGGCCACTGAATGTCTTAATCTGGGCCTGAAAACATATCTTAATTAATTATAAATATTATTGATAAATAAGAGATGAGCATTAGTTACTTATGAATATTATTAATTAGGGGAGAGCATGCTAAAAATTTCATTTAGGTTTTGGATGTGAATGAATTTTTTGATATTGATGTGTATATTTGTAGGAAACATGTTTCTCAGAGGCAAAAGCTAAACTTATTTTGATGTAATTGACTGATTATAACAGTATTTATAATTTTTTTTAGAAACATTATTGCTTTATGTAATAGATGTTTAAACAAACAAAGATTAGCAATGAAACATGTTTGCCATAAATGTAATGTATTGCAAATATATTATTTTTCATTGTAATTTTATCGGGACAAATGTGTAGCATAAAGAGTGTTTTAATGATTTTTCTTCAAGGAATTATTTCATATTTTTTAAATAATAAAAATTAAAAAAATCCCTTTTATTATTAACCCTTTGCACTTGTGACCTTTTCCGTGCAACACACCAGCTACTCGAGATGTTTCGCAGCCTTTTTGACGCATTTCTTACCAGTAATTTAAAATCATTATATACACAAATAATTGTATAAAATTTTTATATTTTAACATTTTATATATCTTAACACCTTTATAAACATTAGTCTCTGTAATTTTTCTGTGTATGATATTTCATGTAACAATACCTGGCTTGTCAAGACAAGTATTACAATAATATGTCATTTGATGCTTTTTTCCGGGTTCATTTCTCTGAGAACAGACTTTGTGATAGATAAGAAAATCTTATTTCCATTTAAAGGGGTATCATTTTACACTTCATAAAATGATACAGAAAGAGCGTAGGAACCCACTTCAAAGAAACTAAATGTAAACAGTTATTGTAGCTCATCGAGTTTCTGCATCAAACCAAGTGGTGAACCCAGGCCATTTAGTATCACAGTCAGTCATAATGAATCAGTATACATTGCAGTATTTTGATAGTTCATTTCTAGTCCTTTATTTTACGAAGAAATGAAGATTTGGAAGTGATACTGTTCAATAATTTACAATTTCAGTGATCTGCTAGCAGAAAATGCAAGTCATGTATATCTATTTTCAATAAAATGACAGTACTGCACACATGGGAAAAAATTCTGCAAATTTCTGAGTGAGGTTTTTAATTGAGTATGTGTCATCTTTGGAGAGTTATAACCTCCTTGCTGCACCAACTTTTAGCCCAAAAGGGCGTTAGCCCAGAAGGGCTATGAATTTCGTTTTGGCATTTTGTGTTGAAAACTTTAAAAGGCTGTATCACTTTTTCAAATTGTTGCCACCAAATATTTTTGCCCTATGCTATATATAAAGAAATCAAATAACGAAGAATCTGCATAAATGCCTTCGTTTCTCGCATTGTAATAAAACAACCCTACGTAGAGGCATTAAATTTTGAATGAATGTAATCCTCTACCCGAATATGGACATCTGGAAGCCTTAATTTGGAATATGTTTTATTATCTACTTTAATGAATTTCTTTAAAACTTTAATGAATTTTTGATTAACAAACTCAATGATTTCAAAGCAAGCAATAGCAACACTGTACGGGGGGAAAAAACATTTTTATCTCCAGCTTGCAAGAATTTGTATCAGAAATTCTAAAGATATGTTCTTTTTAAATTATTTTGTAACATAGCTTGAATTGAATTTTATGTTTTAAGTGCGAAGAACAAGACATTTAATGAATAAAGGTAACACACAAAATATGGAAAATAAAGCCCCTTTTGGGCATAATGTAAAATCTGAAAATTTTCACTTTTTTGGGTGTGTGTGTGTGGGAGGGGGAGGGGGAAGGGGGTAAAACTTAAACGATTTTTTTCTTTTTTTCCTTGTGAAAGGCGATTAAATTCGGCCGTATATGATGGCCATTAGAATTAATACTTGAAAAAGTTTTTTTTATTTATTAGAAAATATGTAAAATTCTAAGTTAGTGTTCATATTATTTCATTTGCTGAACAAAACTATGAGCTTAAGAAAGATTAAAAAAAATATTTTCATCTGCATAATATAGTATTAAAGCAAGCATAATAAATGATCTGTACCTGGAATATCTTGAATTTTTTGAACAATCTAGGTAAATATGTGTAATTTTTAATTTGTATTTAGTTTATTGAAGTTTCTGTATCTAAGCGTAAATGATTCAACAAATTATTGCTTAACTGTGAAAAGCATGATTCTAGATTTTTTTTCTACAATACTTTGTTGGATTATTGCATATGTTAATTTGTATCATGAGCTGATAAGTGAGTATTGTGCATTAAAAGTTTAAATAAAAACTTAATATACAGTAAATGTAATACCATAATATTTTTATAGGATATAACTCAGCAACAACTTTGTGACATTGATTGTGTTGACATCATAGAAAAATGTGTTCGTTTCCACATTCACTGTGCTGAAGCAATGTCTGAAGAAGATACTGCAACATTTGATCCAAAGATCAACAATGAAAATCTGACCAAATGTCTTCAAACTTTGAAACATATGTATCATGATTTGCTTTCAAGGGGAATAGAATGTACAAATGAAGCAGAATTTCGAGCATATGATATCTTATTAAGTCTCACTGAAGGTGAAACGCTCAGGTAATTATGTTTGCTCAGCTTAAGTGCTGTTGTTAATGTTAAGCTTTTATTGTTTTTTTAAATCTAAGTAAATGTCTTATTTAATTTTTATACTTTTCTTTATATGTGTATTAACCCTTTTGTGCTGACTTTCATGCATATGTGCCAGCAAGAAACGCACTCATTTCCCTGCTGGCACGCTGCCATGCCAGAGCATTTTCTCATTCAGCCCCAACCATCACTCATTTGTGCCAGCACCCTGGAACGTTTTAAAAACTATAACTTTGTCACGAGATGGCATTGCATACCTGTAGGATTTGAGATACATATAGATTTGACCTTCTACTCAAAATGAGAGAAACATTACTCACTCGGGGGAGGAGGGAAAGTATAATGTGAACAAACAAGATTCAGCTCTTTAGCTCATCATATGATATACACAATCATGTTACTGATATCCCTCCGAGTCTTTTTTTTATTCTTTTTTTCACTAATTTGTAGGTTTTTTTAGAACTATTATGTGAAGTTCCGTTACATTTTGCGTTGCTTTTCGATACGTTTTGCAATCTTTTTATTTTGGAAACCCTTGACTCCAATTTATTATGGTGAGAAAGCGTTATTTATCAGAGGAAGGATATACTCGCATCGTAAATGAGCCAATTAGTGACATGGATGAGAATGATAATTCATCTTCTAAAGCAGTGGTTCTCAACCTTTTGACTAATACATACCATCTAAACAAAAATTGAAAACCTTTAGTACCATCACTACAAAGTACTACTACCACCCATCACTCTTCAACAGTGCTCAGTTTGCATAAATTTACAAGTACAGTACAAAATCCGTAATCCAGACTCGTCAGGACTTCGGCAATTCTGGATTAGGGATTTTTTCAGGATTATAGATCATCAATTTAAATCTTGTAAGATGGCATGCAGAAATTATACAAGTAAAAATATTAAACCTTAATTTATGAAATAAAAAGCAATTATGATATAAAGGGTATCAAAATTTACACACACACAAAAAAAGCTTAATATTTATTTGTTTACTTTATTAAACATTTCTTTCAATGTTGCTTCATTTTTTGTTCTAATACTTTCTCTTTAATTCTATAAACAGACATAATTTCTTGTTCAGTTACAAAGTTCCACCTTTCGGAAGCGGTATTTTCTGGATTTAGAACCATACTACGGATTTCGCCGTCTGTTAATTGATTGATGATTGAAGCATTGTTGTGCAATGAAAAACTTTTGTTATATCATCTTCATTTCTTTACAAAATCCAATAACTGGAAAATTTCACCTTTAGTTTGCGATGTCTGAAAACCTTCAAATTCGTGGCTATCATTTTCATCGTCCTCGCAATGAAATATGGCAGTTGGCCATAAATTATGCCAAGCATTTTTTAATATATCTGGAAACACATCCTCCCAACGCGCATACTTAAACGCATTGCACGCATGTGTAAAGCATACAAAAAAAATGTTTGTGCCTTTGAGGTCCAGATTATAGATCATTCCAGATAATGGACGTCTGTATTATGGACTTTGTACTGTATTAGAGAAAAAACTCAATCAGGATGTTGGGGCTTTAATTTTTGAATTTAATAGTTAAAAATACTTTTGCTTCTTTGTGTACCACCAGTGGAACAGGGGTCAACCCCTGTTCTAAAGTGATATTTTTAATGAATCTGATATGGGCATATTGTCAGAAATTTAGCTCTCTGAGTGCCTGTCTTACACTTCCAGTGAAAAATGTTTTTACTTCTCCTTGTAAATAGTCTTTCTTGTACTTTTAAAATTAATTTTAAAGTTTTTTAATGTGTTTTGTGAATTAAAACTTTGGAATAATTTGAGTAGCTCATCAGAAAACTATTTTTAAAGCAAGCAATTTTTTTAATATAGTTTTATGTAAAGAAAAATGATTATTAAATACTAATTTTAACATATATGATAGCTTAAGTAATAATCTAAAATGGCATAAAAATTTCAATGTTAAATTTTTTTTTTCTAATATTAGGCTTAGCGACACCCCCCCCCATCCTGTAGGAGCATTCCTTTCAACTCCCCTCCGTCCCGAGGGAATATCTTAGACACAGGCAGGCTGTCTTGAAAGGGTTAATTTGTTAAGTCATTTGATTTGTTTAATACTGAATACACACAGCACCAAATGTTAAGTACTATGTAAACTGGCAATCACTAGTTAAATAACTGCCGGTTAAATCAAACCAGCTCAAGTAGTAACCTTAAGGTAAAAGAAAAATGAGAATCCCCTGCAACAGTGGTATGAGCATGATTTTGAGTAGTAAAAAGCTTTGAAAACACAATACTTGATTTCAACCTGTAACCTTAATACTAATTGCTTTGTGATTAACGGCAGTGGCAGCGTCTGCAAATACCGTCCAATACCATCTCAAATGTGCTCGATTGGTGAGATCAGGCGAGAATTGTGGCCAGGAAAGCATTTGTACACCTTGCACAGGGTTCGTATGGTCCTTGAGCCCTTAAGTTGTTTGGAATCGATTTTTGGTCCTTAAATGTCCTTAATTTCGGCCAAAATTAGCAGAAGGTCCTTAATGTTAATCATATGAAATTTCTGTCTGTTTTTACGACTGCCATTTTGAGTGTGAATTAACATTTTGGATTAATATTTTTGGCAATTCACTGACAAATATGGTTATCTTTTGAATGGGTTATAATTTGTTCCTATTTCTAATATAAATGGTGAGAGATTCGAGTTCCTGATCAAGAAGTGAAACATAAGCATTTCGAAATTATTTCATTATTTCTACTGAAGAGTTTTAAACAACTTTTTGCTTTTAGGGATGTGAATTATTTTATTAAATGGTTCTAAATTTGACAACTTATCAACATTTTGGCGACTTAAATCAGTTTCTATAGAAAATTTTTATTTCCGATCTGGGAATTTTTCGACGATGTTTTTAGAACATTGCAACATTGATAACTGTCATTTAGATAATGGTAATATTTTAGAATTATATTTAAAAAATAATATTAAAATAAAGCATTTTTATTTTTTGCTGTCATATTATAAAGTTCCATTTTGGTCACTTACTATACAATATTTTTGAATGTGAAAAATAAGCAAGGTATAATGCTGTAAAGCACCATTTACAAAACATTTCTTAGCAAAACCAAAATAGCTATGTAATTAATTTAAAATGTATTCTTAATTTTTTCATGGTAAGAGTTTTTCTCATGTGATTGTCTCAGAATATACATCGCCCACCAGCGGCCGAGCGGTAAAGTCGCTGAACACTGGTAGCTCAAACGGGCTGGCTGCATGGGCGTTTTCGTGGTTTTTTCCATGTGTAATGTGTATAAGAGCCAGTTTCCCTTAGAAAGTCCTCCACGAAGGCATCCCTACTAAGGCAGATGGCCTTCAAGGCTTTGCCATAATCACACACTTCACACCACACCAGAATATACATCAGTTTTCTCCAGAGCTTAATTTGCAACTGAGCCCACAGAAGCCCTGCTCCGGTACTTCTTAGTGTTGCGGACAAATCATAATTCTACCTGGAGCCCTAAATAAGAAAGCTGTGTCACTTCTTTTATGTACCTGAGCAGAATTTCAGTAGAAATTATATCTTGAAATTTTTATTTCGAGTAATAAAATTATATTAAAAATCGCTTATTAAATTTTAATTTATCTCTTCATATTTTGTTAAATTCTAATTTACACTATTTAATTATTTTAAGCATTAATTAATGAATTATTTTAATAATTATTTAATTTTTAATTATTAATGATTTTATTTGTAATTTATTTATTTATTTTTGTTCCTCTTTCCTGACGGTGTTCTACAAGGCTCCTACATATCTAATTTTAGAATTTAAGCCCTGATTTTCTTTATAAAATTAGTTTTACACTTTTTGCCTGAGATTTATATTTATTTATTTATTTATTTATTTGCAAAATATTCCTGGCTTTATGCTGTTACACAATTGGTAGGGGTAATTTTTCTTTAGAATTTTAGACATTGCAGCTTGGAAAGTTTAGAAAGATGTGAAGGCAAGATTTATAGACCCACGATTCTAGAAGATTCCAGAAAAATGTGTTAAAATGAAAAATGTCTCCATGGTATTAACACGTAATTTCTTAATTTTTGGAGAACGTCTGGAAGAACAATGAAAACATTATAGTTGAGTGTTTTACTTCTGATACTAGAATCTTTTTCTTAACATTTTTATCTTTCCTTTATTATCTCTACTTTTCGCTAGTCACAAGCATGGAAAATATCAGAAATGCTTCTAATCTTATCATATGGACAGCCATTATAGAAAGAAACTTGAAAGAAACTTGAAAATAAAGAAGTTGAAAACTGTCAATTTAAAAGATTAATCTAATATGTCTTAATGCATCATACACACAGGCATTTTCGCACCTGATGCAGTCTCTGTGAATCTTAAATTCTGCTGCCTGATGCCTTTCTAAATTTTGCTTCCAGTGCCTCTTCTAAATTCTAAACGTTTTGCCATTTCTAGATTTTGTTGCTCGGTGTGTCACTAAATTCTAAAAATTATGCCACATCAGCTGTGTAACCGGACCTTATAATTATATATTTATATTTCTTCTGAATGTTGATATTACTAAAGAAATAAAATTAGCAGCTTTTTCCTATACATTCTAAAGTGCATTTTAGTCTTTTAGAAGTAACAGAAATCTTTAATTAAATCCGAAAATTCTAAAAATGAAAAGGAAACGTATTGGAAGAAACAAACTAAATATGTAAAGAGAAAAAAATATATATTCTTCAAAGATACGTACAGTTATTATTATGTAAATTACCCAGTTGTTTACAATTTCGGCCTTTACTATAATATCCCATTTTTTTTTCCTGACCAGAATGCAAATCACTTAGATAGTTTTGAAACTGAGGTTTTTGGAGTGTAAGACAAGAGTGTTTCTGACCCTGCATTAATTCCTGCCAGCTCTTATAATTTGTAATTATTTGTCTTTGCGTTACCGCTGCCGACATTTGAGTTTGTTATGACGATAGAGTTACTGAGCCAACTTAAAATGAAATTAAGTTGTATAATCTTTGACCACTAGTCGATATTTTTAGTTTGAATTTGACTATGTAATTGATTTTGTTAGCATAAGGAACTGTAATTGATTTTGTTAGCATAAGAACATGCCTCTATGTTATTTTTAAATAAGAAGCTTATTTAAATCTTTTCTGACTTTGTACAGGGTTCGTAGCGGTCCTTACAAGTGCTTATAAGTCCTTATATTTGAAAATAAAATATAAAAGCCCTTATAGGTGCTTACTTTTTCTCTAAAGCACTTATTTTTTTGTTTTTAGTGCTTATTTTTTTTTGCTTTTAGTGCTTTTGTTTTTTTAATTCATGTACATTTTTTCCCTGTACCAAAGCTGAAACTAAATAAACAACTTTTCTTCCTTATATGGAACATCAGATGGTGAATCATACTCCCAGAAATAGCTTTTCACCCCTTTCTCTGCATTAACATAACCTTTGGTGCGTGTGAGTATAGACAATCGTTCTATTGGTCAAAAAATTGCGAAAGCATTAGAAAATTCCGGTACATTCCATATTCTTTTGTTCCCACCCAATACTACACACTTTTGAATTTCTATCAAGATTTTAATAATTTACATTTTCGTTCTGCATGGTCAGTTCATATTCGTGTTTATTATGATCAGTATGCTTATATTACGAGCATATGTATGAATATTTATAATAATATATTTGCAGTAACTACTGAAGTATAGATAAACTTCAAAAATGGGTGTTTTAACACAGATTAGTTTTCTAAGGAATAATATTTGGAAATTTGGAATGGTGTAAATAAAGTGAAAGTAATTGAATAGGCAAAATAATTTGGGGGGGGCAATGCATTATACAGTATGGAAGTTGTGGGTTCTCCCCTATCTCTGCAAAATCTTTTTTGGGGGGAGGGGGTCACTTTCCAACCTGGATTGAATAGGACTAAAAGTTCTGTGGTCTACCAACCCAAGCGAAGAATGATTCTTTTCCGGAAATTTAATGCAGTCTGTTCAAAATTAGAATGAAAAACACCCCAGATTGGTAAATCTCTTTATTAATCAATATGAGTATGGCAGGGATATCGCACGGAGCACAACTGCTCAGTGATAAATATTCCACATGGGCGCAAGACTGTGAAAACTGGATGAAGCAAAGGGGCGTTTTCCTTTATTTAGTAATTTATTCTCCGAATACCAGCAGCAGTTCATTCTGATTGAGTAATATCACGTGCAAAAGAATTAACACGCAGACGTATTACACAATATTGTTTGCAATATTTCGCAGAGATAAGAGAGTTTTACTGTGTTTGCTAAGCAGATTATTTTTCAGTTCCATTCGGCTCTTTTTTTATATGATGCACATATCGAAATGTCAAAACCGTTATTATGCTGAAAAATCTATAGAACGGCTACAATTTAACCCCCTTCTTCTTTTACTAATTATGCTCGACTATCCGGAATTTTCAGATATTCCGCAATTTCCGAATATGCCGGTTAGTTAAGCTTTTAAAGGATGATTGCATGAAACAATTTCTAGTCTCCAGATTTCAGAAAAGTGCCTTTTTTTTACTTAAATTACTTTGCTTGCAATATCTGTTAAGGAAAAACTGTTATACAAGAAAATTTAGAAAATGTTCAGAATTTTGATTTAAGTTAAATTATTTAAATATGAGTGGAAAAATAAATTATTTTATTTTTTGGTGCGAAGCGAATGTAATAAATATGGCTTATTATTCTTTATTTTCTCTGTTTTGAACCGAAATTTCTTCATTAAATCTTGTAATATAATTTAGTTCTACATAGTTTTTTCTCTCATTGTAAACTAGTTCTGTAAATTGAAATTCTATTTCTAAAAATCTATCTAAAAAAAGGAATGTAATTGTTTTGCTTGGTTGAGTAATGCTCATTCTCTCTTCATAAATACCTGAATTTCTCATATTTTAAATTACAAGTCTAATTTTTCTTTTAAGGTTATGCTGTTGTGTATAATGTAATTAGACAGTACTTATTTTTTTCTTAAAATGTGCTTGAAAAGTGCTTATAGGTGCTTATTTTTTAACTAAAAATGTGGCTACGAACCCTGTTGTAGTTACTTTCAGACATAGCGATAATTTGCTTGACATCTGTCAGTGGGTTTTGAACTATTTAACTTTTACCTGATCAAATAAACCCTCATTAGTACATTGTGGAGAGGTTGACATAATCTGAGATAAAATATGCAGAAACTAGTGAGGACATTCTTTTGCATATTGAGACAAATTTCTAATTGTTAGGAAAAGAGAAGAGAAGGAAATCAATAAAAATTAGCCAAAATGTGTGGGAAGGCTTCAAATTAAAAAGACACATAAATATTTTGCTGAGTGTTGTTAGCTTTCAGTGCGCAATTATCATAATATCATTTTAGAATCAATGTCATAAATTACAGGTATTTTAAACTGTGAAATTTTGTTACATTATGATTTTAATAGTGCTTTTTTACCAAATATTGTTAAAAAGTAAATAAAATTTAATAGTAGCCATGTAAATCCATAATGACTTAAGGTTATCTAATACCTAATTTAATTACTTATAACTAATTGCATATCCTAAAAAATTATCTCTGTATATTAAAGTGAGTTATTTCATTTAATCCTTACCGTGGCCACAAGATAAAAACACAAAAATGTAAAAATTCATGTAAAACTTGTTCTTTGCATCTAGTGAGACTTAAAATAATGAAAAATAACTTATCACATCTGGTACTTTATTGGCTTATTATCTGAGTGACAACCCCTGGAACTTTACATGAAGCTACGACACTAACTGTGTCAGACGGAGGACAGCTAACTTTCAGAACTTGTCAACCGTGCCTACATCAGGCCTTTCAGGTTTGTTCTGATCAGCATGTCTCTCTCTAGGCAACGGTGACTACAGCCATTCTTTAGTTTTGAATTATTCTGATTATGATCTTACTTCTCATTTTAACCTGTGCCACTTGACATAAAATCTGCTTACTATTTACTAAACCTCTAGATAGTGTGAGTATGTGACAAATTGAGACTTTAAAAAATAATAATAAAAATAAACATAAAGCTAACTGTTAGTAAAACGTAAATAAAATGTTACTTATCTTCTTTCAAATAAGTCCAATTATTATAAGTGCAAAATATTTAATGCTACTTGATAAATTTCATAAGTTAATTTTATTCTCAAACTTATTAATATTAATGTTAATTAAGCTATGTTTAATAATAATGCATCCTATTTATGGATCTATATTTTATTTTTAGACTGCGTAACAAAAGTGAAGTTCAGGCATAGATAATATTTTTAATTGAATATATTCAGTTCCCATTTGCTATATGTCCTTAATTTTTTTCATTAATGGTCCTTAAAAATTTCCATGTGCAGAAATGTGTACGAACCCTGTTGAACTCTGAACCTTCCTATTGCTAGCCAGATGTGCTTCCAATTTTACTATGAAGGCACATGCTGATGAAGGAGAAGATTCTGTATAAGTTTAATATCTCAAAATTTTTAGTAATTTTTATAGTCTTCTGTTTTATTTAAAGGTTATTTTCCATATTAAATAAAATTCCCTCCATTTTTCATTTTTACTAGCTTCATTTTCTGTAGTACCTATGATAATTCAAAATCATGTTCATCTCAATAGTTAATAAATAAAGAAAGAAAAGTTGGTTATCATCTTGATAAATTCCCTTATTTCCTTTCTATTTTTGGAAGTCTTATTATTTTCAATAAAATTCTGAGCTATAGAAAGTGGCTAATATTTCAGTGCACAAAGGTTCAGCTTTGTTTTCACGTAATATTTAAAATTCTTTAACCTTGAAGCTAAGATTAAACCTTAAGATTTATTTCTTTTATTGCTTGTTATGATGGTAAAATGGAATTATCTATTGTATAATTGTGATTATTACAAAACATAGATTCCAATAGTTGAGAAAGTTTTGCACTAAAATGTTAATTTTTTATAGATATTTGGGAAGAGGAGTATTATTCATGTGATTATATTAATTTATTAGTATGCTTAACTTTTTTCTCATATTGTCTGAAGCCTAAACATATTTAAGCTGCATAATTTTATTTAAGTTCACCTTTATTAATTTGAACATTTTTATACATTTCTTTTTTAGGCTTGTAAAAGATATTAGAAAGGATGTATTAAAATCTTCTTTCATAAAATTTGCCTTTGAGGCAGCATTGGCATTCAAAAGTAATAACTATGTGAAATTTTTTAAACTAATGGAAGAAACTACATATTTAAATAGTTGCATTATGCATCGTTACATTAATGAAGCTCGAGCTCAAGCTTTGCAAGTTATAGTGCGTGCTTACTCTACTCTTCAGCGTTCTACCATGGTGAATACATTTTTTAAAATCTGGATTTTCTCTTTGATTGTACTGTTCTTTGGTAACTATAATTATTGTTTAGTTAATTTAATTATTTTGATATTTTTAGTGATCAAGATAATTAAATTATTTATCTCTAATTTATAATCAAGATAATTAAAATTGTCTCTAATTTATAATCAAGGTAATTAAATTAATTATCTTGATATTTATATTTAACTATCTTGATATTTTTAATTTACTTTTATGTTTATATTGATATTATTTAAGCTTATTTCCTCACTTTATATATTATGTTTTATGTATTTTTTCAATATAATCTGCAGTTAATATGCCATGAGTTATATTAATTTGTATCCTAATTTAATCTAATTTTGAAATTGTTATTGATATTTGTTGGTTGTCTGATACCTACCAGTGCACCAGGACAACCAATTTCATGTCATAGAGCCACTTTGGGGGCAAGTAAGCTAACTGCTATATTTCTCAAACCCTCTAATGGTATGTGAACAGCCTATTGCTGCCTTTTAGCAATGAAATCTGCTTTCTAGGTTTCTTGCAGTATTAGGCAATCACTTTCAAAATGGTATGAAACAGATAGTTAATTTATGCAGATAGTTTCTGCAGGCATATTAACTCAAGAAGACAAATAATAAGCAAGAAGACAAATCATGAGCTGTACCATGTTGTCTTTAGTTCTTCATTTCATTTCATTGATTCCCACATTTGTTCCATTGTTTACATGTGAACAGTCTCAGAATAAAAATTCATATTGAAATCAAAAAGAAACTCTCTATCCCCCCTTTCAAAAGAGAGGAGAGCATAATAACAAGAAAACAAAATAAAAATCCTGCCTTTGTAGAAGAATTTGGAACAGCTCTTGCTGAAACTTTTGCAAGAATCATGGCCATGAGTGGTATGTTTGGCAGGGTACCAACTGAAATCAAATAATTATAAAGTACCATATTATTAATATAATAAGATGATGGTAATGGTTTATTAGCTGAATCATTATCACCAGTATTCACTTTACGGTGTTATGTGACCTTTGGTCTTCCATAGAAGCTCCATCTAGATTTCCCTGTGAATTGTAGTTATTTACCAGTTTTTATTAATAAAGAATGGCTCTAACACAGTGAAGCCATCTATTTTATATCCATTACTCAGATACGAGAACTTTTTCAGTACATCATCAGTGCATACAGCTCATGGATAAATATCTTGTGCTGAAGCATATCAGATGTGATTTAATGATAAGCTAATATATTGACATTCCAGGATACTCACAGATAACATGCCATGATTCCTAAGCATATGCTAAGCATTGTGACACAATAAGTTGTAAAATATAGCTGATATATTGTTTTGCTATTATATTATTAAAAACAAAATACCAAAGGTATTGAGTTAGTTTTAAAAATAGCTGTCTTGCTACTTGAAGAAATATGTGATATCCCTCAGCAAATGTAGAAATGAAGCATGTTTACGAACGTGCGTATATAATTACTGATGCCCTTTTGTTAAATGTGACTTTTCTGTAAAGTTTATACACTACTTTGTTCGTAGGTTGCTTCTGAATTGCAAAGGTCAAAACATTATTGAAAGGTCCAACAAAGCTTATTTTTCAGTGGCTGGATTGTAGGAATTCCATATTTCATAATTTCTTTGGAACTCATTGAATCAGTATCCATTTGTTTTTTTTTTTTTTTTTTTTTTTTTTTTTTTGTAAAACATGGATGATAAAAAAGAGATTTCATTTTGCTATTCATGTGTTTTCATAATACTCAATCTTAAAATCATTTTCTTCCTAAAAAGAAAGGTGAATAAGAAATCTCAGCCTGTGTTTAAATAATAGTACTCCTCTAGTAAGAATAAATTAAATAATGAAGAAAAAATAAGGGGAAATAAAAGGTTTATTTTTTATGTCAGCTTGCTTTTTAAGATTATTTAACAAACAGCCAGCCAGATTGTCTTTAGATCATATCGCTGCTATATATTTTTTTAGCATTTATTTTAAAATATTAAAATTTAATTAATAGCAATCTTTTAGCAAAGGAGAGAAAAGATATCGATTTTTAAGCTATGATATTATTGATAATTTTGTACTTGTATATTTTATGAACAGACATCAGCAACATTATGTAATTAGTAATAAAAACTTTGCTTTATTATTGAATTATCTGTTTTTTTCTTTTTGTGTTATTCTAACATCAAATCATATAAAAGGAAATTATTATTTATATAGTAAATATATTTTACATGTTAACTATGTTTTTCATAAGTTATTCATTTGTAAGCTTTTTTATTTCATATATTATAAGTTTTTTTTTTTTTTTTTTAAATATAAAATTTCTGATGCATTTTACTGACATCAAGTTAGAGTAATTCTTGAGCATCCCTTCTTGGAACCTGTTAAACTTTTTAAGAGAGAGAGTCTTCTCGAAACTCAGCATATTGTATCCTAATAAGTATTCCTATCTAACCTTAACAAAATTATTTAAAAAACAACAACAACCCTGTTTGACTTATCTTTCAGTTATTCTATACCGCCTTTCGAAATGATCATTCTACAAGGGTTAGAGCCTTGGCTCAGACCAAGAGCATGATTGTAAAAACATCAGTGTCACAGGTCTTTAAGGAATGGAGAAGTTCCTGTTTCTTTGCTTGTGATAAGCCATCAGATTTCTACCACAAAGTGCTAAAAAATTTGCATTAAGAGCCAGACTTTGTCTTAACTTGGTGTCTCAAACACCGTTCTACAGAGAGATGAATGCATATTGTATCCTCTACATATGATCTCCAGGAAAGTTTTCTATCAAGGGTTGCACCCAAATATATGAAATTTTCAGTGTCCTTCAGAACAAATCTTGGAAAGAAGGATTAATGGGTCAGGGAGAAAGATTAGCTAAATAAAGTCTTATCAAGGTTTACTTTAATGCTGTTTAATCAAATCCAATTTTCTATGGTTAGTAATGCTTTATTCAGAATGGAGTTGATACTGTGCTCTGTAGTGTTTTGGGGAGACATTGTCCAGATGACCAAGTTGCCAGTATAGAGAAGACATCTAACACCATTTATTGATTTCAGTTCACTTACCAAATTATTGACATAAATATTAAAAAGAGAACAACTAGAGACTGCTCCCTGCGGAAGACCTGTTTTGAGAGCTTTATGTTTTGAATGGCAGTTTTTGTACTTATGCTTGCAAAGCCTATTATTCAGCTTATTGTTTAAGCTTTTAATTATGACACATGTTAATTAATGGATCATTAATCTTTTACACCAGTTTGTTCTTCCTTAAGTACCTTATCTATTTCAAGATGCCAATTTAATGTTCTAAAAATAGATCTTTCCATGGTCTTAGACAAAGTGCTAGTTAAGGAAATTTCTTGTATAATTTGATATAAGGTGCGGTTCATTATCCTTTTTATGGCTCGGAATAATCATATATGTGCAGCACTGAGAAGGAGTACTTGTAGAGGTCCAGGTGCATAAGAAATTCAGTGAAAATACTATCTTTGCGTGGGGACTTTTATGGTTTTAGGTAATTTTAGGTAATAATGTTTGTGCTTTGCATCCTGTAGATTTTATGACTCAAACATCTATATTTTTTCACCTTACCGCTTGGAGTACTCTTTTTAGCAGACATAATAATTTTGCCTCGTATGAATCTATATAAATGTTTTATATTTAAACAAAGATATGTTTTTAGTGCCCAGAGATTCGTTTGAGAGATGTTTAAAGCGTTTCCATTTGGCCTTCTTAAAGTTCCAATACATCTTAGACGTGGGTCCATTGAAGTGAGGAACAAAAATGACAAATTCTGCAACAACCTGATGATTGCCAGAACCAGGTTCTGCAAGTATCCTATATTAAGAGTGACTAAGATCGGGAGATACCAAAAGTAAATCTGCTGTCATTTTTGAGACGTTATAATGTAAAATAAGTTTGAAGGTCTTTATTATTATTATTATTATATACTAGATCAAAAGGGCTGAAATTAAGTAAGTCTTCAGCTGCCTCACCAGCATCGCTCCTGTTGCTGTATCCTCTCTGAACGTAGTTTGCATTGAAATCCCAAATGAACACAGATCTGCGTGAGACATCAAGGAAAGAAAAGTCTGGTTTTATTTCCCATAGGAGAGTAAATTGAAAAAAATTAAAAATACTTATCAAATTTCCAGATATTAAGGGTGAGCTTGTAAGGTATTTCTCCCGCCTTCCTAGCGTGATTTCGTGGTGTAGTGGTATTCCAGAGGTCCGTGGTTTGATTCCCGGCGAAGGCGTTTGCTATTTTCCATCTTTCCTGCTTCCAAAAATACAGTGGATGGACAAAAATATGGAAACACCTTGTGAAATGCATGTTTGAAAAGAAAGATTGATTTTAATGAAATATGTAGGTGGCGCTGGCGTTTTTGACTACTGACGCCACCTATACAACTTCGTAAATTTGCTAAACAGTTCAGTTCTTGTCGGAGTACTGTTATGTGAGGTTGTCATTGCATTATGTCAGAGTTAACAGACTTCGAACGTGAGCAAATTGTTGGAGCACGTATGGTAGGTGCTTCCGTAAGTAAGGTAGCCGAGGTGTTTAGTGTTTCAAGAGGTACTGTATCGAAGATTTATTCCGCATATTTGAAAAGTGGAAAAACATCATCTGCTAAATCACAGCGTGGACGAAAGTGTGTCCTGAGTGATCGTGACAGACGATCATTAAGGGCAATTGTGACGAAAAATAAGAAGACCACAGCTGCAAAAGTTACTGCTAAAATGAATGTTGTGTTACCGAACCCCTGTGAGTACCAAAACAATTAGAAGGGAGCTTCATAAACAGGGAATTGCTGGCCGTGCTGCAATTGAGAAGCCACTCATCAGTGATGCTAATGCCCGTAACGGAGGAAAAGGTTGTGTTTAAGTCATAAAGCCTAGACTATAGAGCAGTGGAGCGAGTAATATGGTCTGACGAGTCTTCTTTCACATTATTTTCCCCACTTCTGGCCGAGTTTACGTCTGGAGAGAACGCCATCTCAAGCCTATAATACAGATTGCTTGTTGCCAAGAGTGAAACATGGCGGGGGTTCTGTTATGGTTTGGGCAGCCATATTGTGGTTCTCTGCTAGCCCCATGATAACTGTATCAGGGCACATGACTGCCAAGACTTATGTGAACATTTTGGGCGATCAAGTTCATCCCATGGTACAAACTTTGTTCCCCGATGGTGATGGTGTCTTCCAAGACGACAAAGCCCCTGTTCACACAGCTCACATTGTACAGGACTGGTTTTCTGAGCACGAGGATGAGTTGTCCCATCTCCCCTGGCCTCCACAGTCACCAGACCTGAATATTATTGAACCTTTGTGGTCTACATTGGAACGGAAAGTGCATTCTCGTTATCCACCGCCAACATCGTTATCTGAACTTGCCACCGTTTTGCAGGAAGAATGGTATAATATTCCCTTGGCAAACATACAGGAACTGTATTTATCCATTCCGAGAAGACTGCAAGCTGTTTTGGATGCCAACGGGTTTCCTACACCATATTAAGCAAAGAAACATGTTTTTTTAAAGGTGTTTCCATATTTTTGTCCAACCCCTGTATGCCTAATGTCTCTACAAGCTCACTTTTTTCTTGATCAGTGCCCATTTCTTTAATGATTTTAAAGTCTGCTGTGAGACAGGATTTAACTCCAGTCAAAAGGCCACTGGTGATTTGCTTTGCCTTGTTTACAATAGATAGTGTAACCCTTGGGTAGGAAATATTTGGTATTTTGGGCTAAGAGGTTGGCCTGCATGATTGTAAAAACATCAATGTCACAGGTCTTTAAGGAATGGAGAAGTTCCTGTTTCTTTGCTTGTGATAAGCCACCAGATTTCTACCGCAAAGTGCTATAAAATTTGTATTAAGAGCCAGACTTTGTCTTACAAGACGTTGCTCGGGATGCACCATGTGGAGGTAAATCTGCTTCGTAACCAGTAATATGTTCATACCAGTCCAGTAATATGTTCCACAGTGAATTATGATATATGCCATAGCATCTTTTTTTTTAATTAATTATTGATGAAGTTACTCAATATTTGTACAGTGTTGTTTAGATGGTTGCCACCTTTATAGTTTCAACCCAAAGACTTTGGTCTTTATTTCAAATTTGCAAGCTCCAGTTTTATGAATGATAGTATTTTAATATTTTGCTATTTTATAAATGATTTTTACCATTTATGATGAAAAGTGTCAGCCCTGTAATGTTTTCCCCTTGGCTTGAATCGAAGTCATTACCCCCCCCCCCTTGTGGCCCCTAAAAGAATGTTTTCAGTAATGGGAAATCTCTTCAGTATCGAAAGAAACCGAATGAGGGTGGAATTAGTAAAGGCAGAATTTTATGCAAATTTAAATTACAATATGAGTAACAAAGATTTTTATAATGTTATTGCACATACAGACTAGAAAATGAATAGAATGTGAAATTTCAAATAAAAAATATAATTTTAAGAAAGATTGGTATGCTATAAATTTATTCCTGCAATGTAATCAGGACTGAAAAAGTCAGTGAAAGTCTTTAACTAAAACAAAAGTTATCATAGATGTGTAATTAAAGCTTTTTTTTCCTATTGCAGTATCCCATTACCAGTTTAGTTAAGGATTTAAAATTTGAAAGCCCTCTGGATGCTTGCAATTTTTGCAAATTGCATGGATTATCTGCCAATGAGAGATACGTCACACTGGAAAGGCAAACATTTAGCAAAATGTCATCTGTCTTTCCAGCAACAAGATCTAAGGAACTTGTTCACAAGAAAAAAGGTTCCAGTTTGGGCAAGGTACTTATATACATGTCTTAAAATCTGATTTAAATATAAAATGACTTTGATATGCATACTAGTAAGTCAACTTTAAGATGTCAATGTCTAGTTTCTTGCATGTAGAAGATGAAAGTATTTTATTCTTTAGAATGCTAGCTTTTCTGAGGTTACTGTCCGGTATGATTATGTAGCAGAAGGTTCATTGATTAAATATATGACTTGAATAAGCTATTTCTTTAATGTTTTATTGTTAATGTCTTTAATGTCAATCTTTGTTACCTAATGTATTTGGTGAGTTGTATCATAAGGACTTACAATGCAATAAATTATTCATTTTCTAACTTTCTTTTATGGCTTTCTTGAATATTTTCATTGAGCATACACTTGTAATTATGTGTCTCTAAAATTGTGCATTGATTTTTTCTTCCATCCATACTTGAATGCTTTTGCAGTTCTTATAAACTGCTCCATTCTAGGAATGGAACATTCACTGAAATTATCTAGGAAGAAAAATGTGAATTTAAGAATATCTTTTGAGCATTCTTTCTGCAACAAAAATTCCATGCATTAAAAATATTGTTAGTATTTATTCCAGAATTTTTAGGATGACATTTTCACAAATGTAGCTAATCAATTTAAGATATTTTTTTCTGTTAATTATGTTACATTTCAATACATGATTGTATTAAAAATTTATGAACTATTCAATAAATATCTCAAAGCATTCAAACCAGCATCCAACTCAATAACCATTTTAAATGGAGGAAAATATAGTATTTAATTATTATTTGTAAATTAAATATATTTTTCATCAGCAATGAACTAAAGTATTTAGCAAAATTCAACTGAAATTGTACTTGCCATTTCAGTTTTGCTGTATTGTTTATATCACTGCTTGTTTTTGATAGCAAGAACAATGATTTAGAAAATTTAAAAAATATGAATTCTTTGGATTACTACCTTTAAAAAGTCATTCTCGAAACTAAAAGTATCATAAAGTTAATGTATCTTTCCACTTGCAAATATATGTATGTAAGAAAAGAATATGTAAAAGATTAAATTAGCAAACTAAATTAATTTCCCTTCCCTATTCTAAAAATAATAACCTCTCTCTGTACTGCGTCATTTCGAGAAAAATCTGTGTCATATGAATCTTACATAATTCTGATGATGTAAACGGAACTAAAACTCTTTAATGGCCAATAATAATTTTACAGCAATATTAACCATCCAATCAGAATGCTTTGAACTTCTGATTGATGTACTTGCTTCCTGCTTTGGTCTAGAACTATAAAGGCTGGAACAGCAATTTAATGGCCAATAATAAGATTACAGCAAGTATAAACCATCCAATCAGAATGCTTGAGGGGGGGGGAATAAACTCAGTCTGACTTCAGGGGGGGGTGGGGGGGCTTTCCATAGCTTTGGTCTAGCTACACTGCTGGGCTGGTTTCTTGCTACAAAATTATCAAAATATAAGGATTTTGTGGAACAGGCACATTTAAGGCCGAATTGTGTGTAATGCAACATGTTGGGAGCTGAAAATAAAAAGGGGTGAGCGATCTGGTATTCGCCACCAAATTTTCTATTCATATGATCAACTTCAAGGGGGGGGGGGGATCAAAAATGGAGCTAATAGGACTTTGAAAGTATTAGGGGAGGGGGAGATAGATAAACAAGATACTGAAAAAGGAGGAGAGTGTAACTCACAGTTAGGGGGGGAGAGGAGGGATTGATCGAGTGTAAGAGGGGGGGGGGGGCAAGGGGGGGGGAGCCAATATAAAGAAATATTAGAGGGGTTATAAAAAGTTTCCAGGAGAAACGGCGATAGAAGGGAGAATGGATCCTTCTTTGAGAAAGGAGAAGAGGGGAAAGCAAAAATATAAACCAACTGGGAGGGCTTCCAAATCTTTTCAACTGAATGAATATGGGGGGGGCCCTTGAACGGACATGAAAATAAAAAGAGAGGAGATAAAGGGGGGAAAATAATAAGGGGGGGGGGGGGGGGGGGGGGGGGGGTTTTTTGGGGGGGGGGGGGGGGGGGGTGGTGGTGGGGGGGGAGTATCTATTACATTATTTTCAAATGGGAAGGAAAAAACTCACATACTAATGATTCAGTTAATTTTTAATGATTGTTCAACTGACGGATTATTAATTTGAAGTTTAAAATGATATTATGGATTACAACACTCAAAAGGCAGTAAATATAGAATCTCCAACGATTTTAGTTTTATTTTTCAGGAATAAGTTTTTTTTTTAGTCATTTGCAAATACGTAAAAATAAAATTTCGAGAGCAAAAGCATTCAAATCACACACATACCAAAAACCTGTATACAGGCTGTAAAAGATTGCTTTAAATGAAATTATTAACTCATTCACTAAATTTGTTTAGATTATCTGGTTTTGGCTCTGACTGCAATCTCTAATATGTGACAGCAAAAATTATTATCAGATCTTGGCTTTAGATTTGATATATTTACTAGATCTTTAACGGAATACCTTGAAACATTTGTCTCTTTGAGTTTGTTTTTCTTTATTGCAACATGATTTAAAAATGCTATGCATAAAGACAAAGCTATTATGCAAATCCTAGAATACTAGAAGCCTTTCCTTGCTAATGTTTGCTGATCTCTATAAAAATTGCTTTGCATTTTCCTTCTGAAAGCTGATTCTTTAAATGAGCTTTCTTTTGTTGAGTAAAATACAGCCATAGCAGAATTAAAAAGATGGCATTTTTCCTTAAATGTGCAACGTGCAGATTATTGCCCAGAAAAATATTTTCAGACATTCATGATATACAGGTAAGTTTGGCATGATGGTAATTATGATAGACTTTTCTGAGTTTGCTGCAAATGATAGTGCATCACAATTTTTGTAGTCTAAATATATCATTAACTAATAATAGCAAATGCCATTTCTCCGATCTCCAAGGGCCCACCAGCGGCTGAGCGGTAAAGTCGCTGAACACTGGTAGTTCGGTCCGAGGTTCGAATCTCACAAACAGGCCGGCTGCATGGGCGTTTTTGTGGTTTGCCCTATGTGTAACGTGTATACGAGCCAGTTTCCCTTAGAAAGTCCTCCACGAAGGCATCCCTCCCCTTAGGCAGATAGCCCTAGTATGCTTTGCCGTAATCTCAGTAAACCAAACCAAACCGATCTCCAAGATCCTCGTACTCATGGAGTTTGAGCACAATCCATTAGCTCACTATAAAACTCATGATGCCCCTGTAGCTGGTAAGTTTATTATTATTTTGATAGCAATGTCATTCATTTTCTCAGTGCCATTGTCTTACAGCTAGATTTAGTTCTTAGGATCTATAACAGTGTCTTTAAGAGTATCTTTTATCTCTACTGATATCATTCATTTTATATAGTTATGTATTGATTTCATCAGGTACATAACACTTGAATGAAATAACCAAAAATTATTAACACTGCTGATAAATACAAAATCTACATGTTGGATTTCTTAATTCTCAAATATCAATTAGCAAAATTCCATGCTTTTTATATACAGCAAATTTTGCATTAATACTTCTTATATAATTAAATGTTGATCTAACTAGGTACTTTATTACCAGTGAAAACAGCAAGAAAATATTAACACCTTGAAAACGACAATTGTTTATTACTTGAGAATTGCTCAATTTCCAGTTTTCAGGTAGTATAAATATGAAATAAACAGTATAAATGCAAAAAGATCCAACTTTAGTTAGGTTTTTGACAACAAAATACAAATCTCTGGTATTATTTATATATACATTAAAAAAATTCATTAACCACTTGCGCTACGACTAAACTTCACGGTTGCGGTGCCATGCGCTACAATATAACAAGCGGTAAAGTGTCTGATTTACGCCGCTCCGCGTCTGCGAGTGCAATCCAGAGCTGTAACTCGAGAAATAAACAATCTCGTTGTTAGGCGGCGTGTGCACCACGTTATTTTCATTTTTGCAATAAATGCCTATTGACGTGGTGTTCACGTTGCTCAAGGTTTGAGACAAAAGCATCTTGACGTGCATGGCATGTCTTTTTAGCGCAAGTGGTTAAAATCCACAGATATTTCTGCTTTCAAAATATATAAATTTTCATTTGAGGAAAATTAAAATGAAGGTGGCCGGCTGGTCTATTTTATATTTAAAACACAGATGAAAGAACAGGAACAGGATTGTTTAATAATCAGCATATATGATTGAAATTAAATACTTCTGTAATAATTTTATTTATTTATTTAAATCTGAAATTGTGATTATCTTTTATTTATGTTGGAAGGGAATTATTATACTATCCTTTTCAACTATGGTTAGCAGTTCTTTAAAGATTGTGAAGAGCTTTCAGTTTGATGTGCTATAAAGTAAAACTGCATGGAGTTTTAGGGTGCTCCAAATTGTTATTCATTACAGGCATAATATTTTAAGTAGGCTAGCATTAGTGATCCAGTTCATATTTTGAGAAATGTCAGTCTGTCACGTCACAGCTGTTTTATGTTTTAAATGCCAAGAAAAGAGAGAATGAAAACTGCGTAAATAATATTTAGTAAATGGCGTTTTTGACTAGAATTAAGTTACTTGATAACTTAAAATAAAATTAAAAAAATTTTTGGTATATTTCAAAAATGAAGTTGTAATTAATATTAATATGGGAATAATAGTAATCTTTCTTTTCAATTATGTTAGCAAAGGGTTATAGGAGGTTTCAATTGGATGTATTGTAAATTAAAGCTGCATAGAGTGTTTTACTTGTAGGATGCTTAAAATTATTATCTATTTCAGATAGTGTACATGTTAGTTAACATGTTCATTGCCTTCTTTGAGAACACTCATAGTTGACCAACTGGGTTTACTTGCCAGCTATAAGATAACTCGTTATTGTACGAGTATTGTTGTAGTAAATGCATGCAATGTTCAGATGTTTTTAGTGCACAAAGGGACTAAGTAATACATTTGTCATACTGAAATGGATAATTTATTTCTCAAAATATAGTTGTCAGATCATTTATATTTCAAAACTGTAAGTA